AAGCTGTGGGTGTCTAGAGGCTGTGATTGGGGTATCATGTATGTTTACCCTTTCCTTGTAGCATTCCTTGGGAATTTACTTTTGTTCACAGCCAGAGATGGGTCTAGACAGAATTGTAATTTTAATACTGCAGCCAGTCTTACAGTCTTTTGATGTCTTTATACTTAGGACAGATCAGGAGGAAGTGCAAGAAAAGAGGTTCCCATGGGTATATTATGAGTCCTGAGTCCTGTCTGCAGGACAGGCTCCCTGGGCTGGCAATGTAGGTTGAGGCTGAGGAAGGATGATCTGTGTCTAGCCCCACCATGCCCTCAGATGAGTGCTCCTCTTTCTACCATCTGACATCCCAATCTATCCTGCCTTCCTTGGCACAAATTAATGATCTAACAAACAGCTCACATTGATGACAGCAGCATCGAGACACACTGTTGATTTCCCACCAGAGATGTCAAAATTCACTCTGTATTTGAAGCCCAGTGAACAACAAACTTCCCTTAGGCAGAGAGAAATGCTGTGGAAAAAAACAAAATCTGGGCTTTAATGCACAATTACAATAAGTCATTAACATTACATTGAGTCAAACTGCTATATAACCTTGGCGTGGGTTCACAGATTCCATTAATTTCGTTGTTAGATGCACATTTGTCCCAAATGAAAAAAAATCCTTCTGCTTCCTTCTATTTATCCAGGTGAAAATACAAAGCTGTAAATAAAAATCACGTTATCTACTAGTGCTCAAACACAGTTTTTAGATTTGTATAAAGGCAACATGCAACATAATGCTTCTTGCAGCAAAAGGGTGCTCGTGAAAGGCGAGGGTCAGAGTTCAGGTAGGACCTGCAAAGCTGGACATTGGTGCTCAGATGTGTGTGGAAGACCACAGAAAGTGATGGCAGTTGTCCCAGTTACTGGAACTTGGAGCAGGTACTGATCCAACAGGAGCACTGACAGGCTCCTTTATTCACCCTTTATTCAGCACGGTAGGATGCTTCTGCAAATGAGATATTTTTGTTCACCGGTCTGTAACATGGACTAACTCATCTCCATCAGCACTGATGTGTTGAACACATCCAGCAATCCAGGACATCATTTATCTGCCTAATGTGCAAAAATGTTAAGATAAGCTAGTTCTTTTTCCATTTGCTCACTCACATTCATTGATTTCCTAAATTAAATGTCTTTCCTGTATCTTGGTGATGAAGCATCTCCCAAGACTTTCTGTGGCAGACTGGGAACTCTAAAGTGAGTGACTTATCCAATACCTTTCTTAAGGCTGTCACCTGAGTTGTCATACATGTGGTTCTTGCAGACAGAAACACTTACAAGAAGTTCTACTGACAGGTAGAACTTTCAAACTGATTTTTAAAACTAACTTCTGGTGAAATAACAGTCAACATTAGCAGGAGTGGTGACATGTTGTTCCTTTGGAAACCACATGAAAATCAGAAGGAGACTGGCCTGGAAATGCTTAGCTTAACTTTTGAGTATTCATGTTTACCCTACTTAGGAATAGTTTATCTCATTTCACATTCACTGGGGAAGCCACTTCTTGAATTGTACTCTCCAATAATTGAAGAGACATGCAGGATTAGATCAGGATTTATAATGAGGGGAGAGCAGCCCTGAGGCAGATGCTCTTAAGCAGAACTATAATTTACTGGCAGCCTTATCTAAGATATGGTCAGTCAATAAGAAAGCCTCGGAGGACTTCAGGGTAGCCACAGTGTCAATCAACCTGCTGATTTCTTTGTAAGGAATGCCAGCTGGTTACTAAACCACAGGGGGTAGACAATAAAAATGAAGAGTTAAGGACAGAACAATGATTTATTTCAAGTGGGAAACCAGGAAAAAAGTTTGAAACCTATTTCTGTTAATTGCTCATGTTGCTGTCATTACTCTTTGTTATTATTTGTAGTAGAAGTGGTGACGAGACTCAGCTGAGATTGTAAACTGATTAAGCTGAAATGGACCTACTGTGCTCACACTGTGCCTTCACTACCCACTGCTGAAGGCTCTGGTACAGTGTTCCCTGTATTTTCTTTCTTGATCATACACAATACACTGTCACTGGGCTTTGCAGCCACAGCTGAAGTGCAGACTATGGCTCTGCTTTCCCCTGGGATCCTAACACATTTACTTGGTCTCTTCAGTTTCTTCCCACAGTTTTCCCCCATGTGTCTGGAGGACCAAGACAAGCACTCCCATGATGAATGACTCATTGAGAAAGAATCAGAGAGACTTTGAACTTACTTTAGAACAACTTCCCAAGGAAGAATGACCCCAGAAGTCCCATTAGCATGCAGGGCCAGAGATAATCCAGCAGAACTTCATGGTGTAACTGCCTAAAATGGGCCTGAGTCAACCAGAGATGCCACATGCAGATCACAGGCCTGAACCAGTTCTGTGGTGGAGACAGACTCCAGTGTGCAACCTGCCTGTTACTGGGATGGTGAGAACCTGGAGCTCTGATTCCTGATCCCAGAACTGCTGCTATCCCAGTGTGCTGGCTTGGATGGCTCTGTCAACCCTAACACTCTAGATTATCTGTCATCTTGTGGATTTTTATGTTTTTCTAGGGAATTATGGAAAACCAGAGCAGCTTGGCTAAAATTAAGGATTTCCAGATGCACATCAGAACTGTTGTGGTGTGATAAGCTGGTCTAACCTGCCCATATGAAGGGATTTGGACACACTCAAACCTACTTGGGTGTGTACCCAACAGGTCTACAGAGCTTGCACAGAAGGTCTAAGATGCTGAGCTTGTTCAAGGCTCTCTGCTAGGCACAGCCTAACCCATACTCACAGATTTCTGCATAGGAAAACCCACATAGAAATATAGGAAGCTCAACAGCTAGAGATAAACTTTCTCCTTTCAGATATCAAAGGGTAGCAGGTGTTTGTGGCTTTTCTTTTTTTTTCTTTTTTTCTTTTTTCTTCTCCCTTCCCTTCCCTTCCCTTCCCTTCCCTTCCCTTCCCTTCCCTTCCCTTCCCTTCCCTTCCTTCCCTTCCCTTCCCTTCCCTTCCCTTCCCTTCCCTTCCCTTCCTTCCCTTCCCTTCCCTTCCTTCCCTTCCCTTCCTTCCCTTCCCTTCCCTTCCCTTCCCTTCCCCTTCCCCTTCCCCTTTCCCTTCCTCTTTCCCTTCCCCTTTCCCTTTCCCTTCCTCTTTCCCTTCCCCTTTCCCTTCCCCTTTCCCTTCCCCTTTCCCTTCCCCTTCCCCCTTCCCTTTCCCCCTTCCCCTTCCCCTTCCCCTTTTCCTTCCCCTCCCCTTTATTTTTAGCTGTGATGATCTCTAAGTCTCACATTAACTCCAACTAGTGTAGGCAATTTTCAAAAGATGAAAATCTGTAGTTTTTCATCTTTAAATTAAACGTTTATATATTCTGGTGACGGACACGCTGCAAACAGCATGGTTGTTGATATCTCACAGTACCAACTAGTAGGAAGAAAATTAACTTTATCCCAGCCCAAACCAGAACAAGTTGTTAGAATTAACAGCATTTTGAGATCCTGTGATGGAAGATGCTGTGGACTCTCGATCCATATGCATGGTCCTCTGCAAACACATATGTGGCCCATGGAAAGTCTTCGGAGTGCAACCATTCCTACACAAAGGACAGAAATAAAACCACTTGTTCCTTGCAATTTGCATGTACTTTATGGTTCAGAGCGCAGAGAAATCTGTCCATCTTTCCTTTCATGGGGGAAAGCACACTTAATTATCTGCTGTAGTGGGAAATTATATGAGATTGTCTGCTCCAGTTGCTGTATGGTCAGCCCAAGAGCAGCCTGTCATCTTCAGTAAATAAATCAGGTTGGAAATGGAAAAATTTGCCCAGCCTGCACAACAGTCCATGTGTCCTGGCTGGAAGTAGGGACAGAGCTCCTCAGAGGCTTTGTCTCATATTTTTTTTTGTATCTCCAGCTATTACAGCTGTATTTTCACAGACTTTTCTCTGTCATCCATGGGAAGACAGCTGGGCATGTCTTTATAGGTCCAGTCCAAGCAAAAGTCCTTATGATCTCCAAGGGAGTAGGAGCAGTGTCCAAGCCCTCCTCAGGCTTTGCTGCTTTATCTAATCTAGGAGGCAGGCAGAAATGAGGGCTCCGTCTAAACTCACTTGAGGGCTGTGGCAATTTTACCAATGGCTTTAATTAGCTATGGATGAGACTTTCTGTGTCAGACCTCACCCTAGAGAAGTCACGTGGGGAGGAATTCTGGTATTATTAATTGCAGCACCTCAAGGCTTTGACCCTACAGCAGATGCCAGTGACACACTGTTGAGTCTGTTAAAATGTTCTTCATTACAGCTCTGAGCCCACCTGTAGCTGTATGTTTGAGAATCTGATTTCCTCAGAAAAGTGCCACGAATTTCTAGGCACTGTGTATTTGTAATATACGGGACGTGCACCTTGTCCACGGATCCTGTGTCCTTCAGGACCAAACTGACACATAAGCTCAGAGATCTTGGTGCCTGCTTACCTGTGCCAGGACCAGGGGTACAGGTTTTTTATTAGCATGATGCAAAATTACTATAATGACATGAGAAGACAAACACAACCTACGGCACATAAGAACTGCAAGATTATGGCAGAAGGTGGCCAGAAAACCACAATCCAAGCATATATATGATTTTCTGAGCTATTCTTGTGAGACCTCTAGATTCTAGAGGTCAACACACAATTTTGTCTGAAGATGAACCTTGCTTAGTGTCTTCTATCTGCAAATTTCAAACTGTGACAGCAAGGAAGTTACGATTATTTTCTCTGTTCTATCTGAGCAAGAGAACAGAACCTCAGGCAAAATGACTTATTTCAGGTTGCTGAGTGAGCCAGTAGTGGAGGCAATATAAGAAGCTGGGTCTTAAGAGTCCTAGCAGAGGAAACACAGGACAGCTCTTTAGAGGCCAGACTACAGGCAGGGATAAAATCAGTCTCCGAAAGAGCGATCAAATGAAACTCTGCTGTTGGAAGGTAAATTAAATCCCCTTTCTTTCCCTGCAGCCTGGGGAATGAGCGTGTTTTGGATCCAACTGCGCGACATTAATCACAATATGGAATATTTGAGCCAAAGGTCAGCCACAGGGGGCCAACTATTAACATATGGGATTTATCTGTCTCCTTCTTCCATAAAGATGCAGCATGCTGGATAATTAAACTTCTGAGTGCCAGTGTGGAGTGTAGTCTGTTTTTTTCCACTGCTCTTCGTGATTCTATCCAGAACCATTTCCTTTCACTGTACGCTCAGAAGGGAGGAAACAAAGGTGGCATCCTGATCTTCATTATTAATACACAGGAAAACTTGGAGGAAATCCCTTTTATGCCCCTGGCTTTGTGTAAAGAAAACTCTGCAAGCTCTGAAGTCATATTGTTCAGCTCCTATATATATTAATATATCTATGTGCATAGCAGATGTTTCTTCAGATACTTAACTGATGTTTCTGCAGAATTATGGTACAGAAAAAAACCTACATAACAACTTGCATTTCAGTTGATTTACTTCTATTAAATTAAAAATCTAGAAAAATGAACATTTAAAGTGGCTACGGGGAAATAAAGAAAAACCACATTCTCCTATAATTCATGTGAGTGCTTCACCATTATTACCTGGAATAAAAATCCTGGTGTACAGGCAGCGCTCAGCTCTTGTTTACAAATGGGAACAGGCAATGGGGAGGCATTTTTCCACTTTGGGTAAAGGAATTAAAAAAAAAAAAAGAAATTCTGAGGACGGTATCTAGCTGAAGCTGTTCAGGTGCTGCCTTGTTTAACCAGCAGAAGCACTTCCAGAAGAAATGAATCCAGTTCTAATACAGACACCTGAGGAAGGAGGCACAGATCTCCCTCTGGAGGTACCTACCTCTTCCCCCAGCTCACCTGACCTGCTTAGACGAGATGTCTGCTTTCAGACAGCTAAAATTAAGCAAGGGGAATCCCACAGCAGCTGACTCCACTTTGTTTCTGCCACAGTAAAGTTGTTGTTACCATTATTTACGGTTATAATGTGGTAACACTCAAAGGCCAGGTATGGTGCAAGCATGGAGTAAAATGCAATTCCCTGCCTCACAAAGAGGACAACTCAAATAATTAAAGGATGAATTTGCTTTTATTTCTGCAGTTTGACTAAAAAGAAATGCAAACAGCAACAGGCAATTAAAGTACATAATACTTGATTCATGAGATACCAAAACGCCAAACTACATACCACATATGTCCCATGATACTTACACAACAGAATGACTGTGCACTTTTGGCTACAATGTTAATAAAAAGGGGATTTACCATGTTAAGTATTTCCAGTGCATCACTCTCTGTCAGAGTTGTTCCAAAGTGAGGCCAGTTTATTTTTTTTTTTTTGCATTCTAATACACTGCTTTTCATTTAAAATAACTGGTAATATCTTATATTTATATATTGCTTTTCATCTAGAAGGATCCCTGAGGCCTTCTCGAGTACTTTCTGGAGTTTCAAAGTGTTGGGGGAGAGAAGGCTTGTCATGAGTAAAATGCAGTTTTTGCCAAGTTTCTTCATCACATGAACCACACATTGTAATTTTCATGTGGTCAAAAGGCAAGAGACACATATGATGTGCCTTAGAGGAGGAATAAGAAAGCCAGAAACTAGAGTGGCTCACAGATGGGAGACAATACTGACTCCTCATATGACCATGTTCCTCACTCACGGACTGGAGCTGAGCTGGACTGACTCAGGGGTTTGGGCTACAAGGCAGCTCTTGCACCAAAACCAGGCAATGTGATGACTCAAGATATTCCTTCAATTGCTTGTGAGATGTTTGACTCAGAGCTATCACTTGACCACTGTCTTGTGTGAGGCACTGAGTGAGGAATTAAGACGCCAGGATAGCAGGTTCATATCAGCCATCACTGGTCCTCAGGTGTCTTCTTGATTAGTCCTTCAACTTTCTGCCCCTCCTAAATTTTTTCCTTTCTCAGTTATGTCCAGCAATACTTTTCAAGTCCAGATACAGCCATGGTAGCTTAGGGGTTGCACAGCATTACAGTCATTTCACAGAGGATAAGATAATAGTCTGTGTGGGGAGGGACTTTGCTAAATCTGCACCTGCCAGTGATGCCACATACCACACACCTGAACTGAATGCAAGTCTGGAACAAAGTAGTTACAACCGTATAAAACACTTGTGCTCTTTTGACAAACCATGGCAAGATATCCAGAATTTTTTTTTCTAATTTTCCTTAAACAAAGTGTTACATTGCACTTAAAGGTGTGGATGTGCAGTATCTGCAGGGAATATCGTATGTATCACAGCAAAATAACTGTCTGAGCAGAGGAAGGGCTGGGAAACACTGATGCAAAGTGTCAAGTTTCAGAGCAGGGACAACTGCCTGTGTAGTGTCTTAAGAGAGATAAAAACTTGATCAGGGCTACAGAGTGTCTTTAGAATAGACATGGTTAATGCTTGCATACAGAAATGATATGGAGAGGTCTGTAAGGTCAAGAATGCAAAAGATAAGGAAATCCAGCATTCCGCTGGCCTTGCAGTTCACTTTATTTCCTTGCTGTTTACTATTGCCTGGTCATACACCACTTCCCCTTCCATACCTCAGACTGAGGGCTGTTCACAGAACAGGAAACTAATCAATATTTATACTGCTGCATTCATCTAGGCACATCATTTACCCCATTTATTAAACAACAAAAAAAAATATCATTTTTTATGAGGTTTCTCTCCATACAGTATCCATGAGCACCACATACAGAGCAACTATATCTGACAACACTCCTGTAAAGGAAAAGGCACTGAGGAAAGAAACTGCCCGTTGTCAGGGCTGATACTGTGAACATGGACAACACATTTCGGGGCCAGTGGGTTATCTAGGATAAATTCGGTGGAAACAGCACCATCTACTGAGCACCCAACAGTCTTCTTGCTGGGACTTTTGGGGCTGGGGGTTTTGGAGAGGAAGGGCCTGCCTGTGCAGCCCCAGTGATGCTGAATGTTCAGCTCCTCAAGTTATTGAGCTCTTGAGATCAGGCTGAAGCTTTCCATCCCTGAGATGACTCCAGTTGCTATGCTGTGATTCAAGTCATCTGCTTTGAAGAAACACAAAATAATCCTAGTGATAAATATACAAAAGAAATCTATTTAATCCCAGCATGTACCCCAGTGTATAAACACACATTTCATCCCCAAAAGTCTGTCTTTGTTTGGGTTCACTCCCAAAGTCTGTGCACGCTATGCTGTGCCCCAGGCTCTCTCTCATGTCCCCATCGTGTAGTAACTCATTAGGAGACTAGATTTTGGGTACACTGAGGCACGTTTGGGCTGGCTGGCCGTGACCTCTTGGCCTCTTAGTTGCATGGGGACCTTGATTCCTACAGAATGACCGGTGGGAATATCCACACGGACACGGGAAAGGGGAAAGAACCACTCGGGGAAAGTTAAAGGGAGGCACAGCCGTGAGGTGATTCTCTTCCATGAGGAGGGAGGGGTATCTCCTGCAGGTGAGCGGACCCGCGGCCTCGGCAGGACTTTGTGGGCCGCCCGTGGGTCCGGTCCCTCACGCTGCCCCACGCGTGCTGTCCCTCCCGGGGAGAGGCGCCTCACGGGCTCACCGCCGCCCCACACACACCGCTTTCCCCCTCGTTTCCCCCGGGGTTTCCCCCCAGCCATCCCCGCCACGGCGGATTTCTCCACGCCTGACAACAAAGGAGGCGGCGGGGCGGCCGCGGCTGTGACTCAGCGCCGGGCCCGCCCCCGGCCCGCCCCGCCGCTCCCCTCAGGCGCGGCCGGGCCGGCTCCGCGCGTGTGGCGGGGCCGGGCGGACACTCCGGCGGGCACCGAGCGGGCGGCTGCCGTTTCTCTCCTTCCTTCCCAGCCTCCCTCCTCGGCTCCCCGTGCCCTCTACCCCCGCGCTGCCGGGCGGGCAGAGCCGCCCCACCGAGGTGGGTTCTGTGTCTGCTCCGCACACAAAGGCGCTGGCGCGGAGCGGCGGGACAGCCCAGCCCGGGGGGGATGAGGGACGGCGGGGAGGGGAGCGGGGAGCGGGGTGTTCCCGGGGGTCACCCCTGGGCCGTGGGGGTCCCGCGGCAGAGCCACGTCTCTTCGCCTTCAGTCGCGAAGGGAAACACGAGGAGTTCATCGCGGCTCTGCATAGAGCGAAGGGGGAACCAAGCAGGGGGTGTGCGGAGCACCGGGGGTGCTGCCGGTCCCGCCGCCCCCCGCCGGTGTCCCAGGTCCTCCGGGGCCCTGGAGCCCGTGGGTGTTTCAGCTTCTCCGTGGGGCAGCTTTGATTCTCTGGTGACTCTTGCAGCGGTGGGAGCACCCCCACAGCCCGGCCGGGTCCATGGGTGCGGGCTGGTGGGGCCGGGGGAGCGTGGTGGTGGATGGAAAGAAAAGGTAAGGCGGATAAGAATTATACGTGTTTTATTTCCTCTAAGTGCTGCCCTGTGAAATGAGTATTAGGAGCAGCTGAACTTCTGGTGTGGGCAGTGGATTGTTTCCTTAAATCTTTAAAACAAGCAGAAGCTTGGAGCGGGGCAAGCCCCGAGGAGCTGCTGTCTCCTGTGCTCCCACCGCTCCAACCTGGATCTGTCAAAGTTTCCCTCAAGGACCAGGAGAGTCCAAATATCCAGGTTTTCCTGTGCATTGGGGTGAAAGGCTGCACAGCTGGCCAGGATAACTGTATGGATAAACGTGTTTTGGGGGTGCACGAAGGGAAAGGGTGCAGCGCAGGAGCTCTGTGAGACTGAACTACTTGTTTGCTTCGGCCATTGGATTTTTTTTCATAGCTTAATGAGTTCTGGCATAAATCAATACTGTGAGAGTGCGGTGTACAGCCATGCCTGGCATTGGAGCAGAGTCTGTAAGTCCAGGGCATGCTTGTGGCAAACTCAAGAGAGAGGCAGCAACATGTGAACTTTTGGGGTTTCGCTGAGAATTCGCATAGTCGCACAAAAATGCAACAAAAGGAGGAAAAGATGCTTCTGTGTGAGCCTAGTGTGGTCGCTGTGTATAGTTTGTGGTGGGAGTATTGTTGAATAACTCTGGCAGCAGAGCTGCTCTGTGTTGTGGTACTCCTATGTGTGTACTAAGTCCTGTAGCACCAGTCAGGAAATTCAACTTCCACAGACTTAGCAAGAGAAGTAGGAGCGTAGAAGAACATTGCTGAAAATGAGAATGATTGCTTGTGGATCTGGTAGGCAATTTGAGAGGCATTTAAACTGTCCTTAGATTCCCTGTGATATGAGCAGGACATTGAGAATCTGTTGCTTTATTGATAGCTGTTTTCCTAGCAATATATGGACAGACAATATGTACGACGAATGTGATGGCTGCTTGCTTGTTGTCAGCAATATTTGCTCAGGGACAATAAACAATTGTTTGCTGAGCTTTATTATAAAGAATCACAAATGCCCCATATCTCCTGAAACAAAGCCTTTATTGTCTTAATGCAACAGTGGGCCAATTTCATGCTTGGTGTAGTTCCACTGATGTTGGTGGAATTTTGCCAGGGATGATTTTGGCAGGTGAAGTGTCACTTCTGTGTCCATAATGCTCAAGAGTAATGTTGCTATATTGTCTTCAGCACTTGAGTATTGTTAATTAAAATGGTATGCTGATGCTTCCCAAAAGTTAGAGGCGGGAGAGTCATCTCATCAGGTCCTCACAATAATTTCCCACTTACTTTCTCCTTTCTGCTTCAGATCTCATATCCCTTAATTTACTCTCTTCCTTCTTTTTCAGTCTTAGCATCTTTTTTTCTCTCTTCAAAATTAAGAAGCTTCTCTGAACTCCAGTTCACCGTCTAGCATTTAGAGGTTTTGAGGCAGCCTGTGTTGAACCTTCCACCACCCCTGCACGACTGGGTAAGTGAGGAGCTGTGTGGCAGCTGCAGTTGGGAGATCCTCTCGCACATACTCTCCTTTACAGGCTGATTTGTGTGGTGGCTCTGGTTGGTGCATGTGCTGAAGTGGCAGATTGTTTGTCAGAGTCACGCAGTGGAACAGCCTGGCTTGAGAGAGACTAATAGACCAGGCTGGGGGTGGGGGAGTCACTCGGGTTTTGAGAACACTCCTTCATGACATCAGTAAGGACAAGGAAACCACCTAAAAATTGGAGAAAAAGGAAAAATGGAAGAAAATACTCATGTTTACTAGCTGTGGGAAGAAGAGTGGAACTGTTTAACCAGTAGTTGGCTCTAACAGAACCTTGGCTCCATCAAAGTTTTAAAAAAAGAAAAAAAGATTTCATTGAATAAAACTATGTTATCTTTGTATGTGGTTAACAGTATTAAATACATGTGGCCAACTCTTAGTCTGTTCTGGGGCTGTGGTAGTTGTTAACAGACCAAATTTCAATGCTCAGCTTGTGCTGAGCAGTTTTGTATCAGACGTCTCTGCGCTGAACAACTTTGTATCTATTTGCATCTCATAAGGACACGAAAAGAGCATGTCAGGCACAACTCGCGGCTGATGCTGTTGTGACACAGAATCAAAGAGCAAAATTCATACACTGTCTCACTGTGGAGGGGAAGAAAATGTGTTTAGTACTTCTTCAATCCGGTGATTAGTGTTAAGTTTGTTCTGGTTTGGCCAGACCTGGCGTGTTTTTGAGTATCAGTGGAAGTATGGTTTGCAGCTTAACGTGATGTTGCCAAGAGCCTGCAGCTCTTCTGTGTTTACTTGAAAAGCTTGTAAGTTGGGGTTTTGATGTTTTGTTTTGACATAACACAGTGGAAGGGTTCAGCTGTGGAAAGGGAATTGGTCACATGCTAACCTGAACATAAAGCTGCAAATTTGGTAGGAAAAACATATCATATCTTTAGGAGAAATGTAAATGATGTGGCTACAACTACATTTCTCGGTGATACTTCCCCTTCCAACATCTTGTATGCTCTTGCCAAGCTTATCTCTGAGCGGGCTTAATTTATATTAATCTTCTAAAACCGTGCTGAGGTGTAAAGATACCCCATCTTCCCGCTGTGGGGAAGACACCTTCCCTTTGCAGATTGGGAATGAAAGCAGAAGCAAGTATATAGGTCATCTGTGACCCCACAGGAACTGGAAAGTGGTGCAATAACTTGAACTCATGTCTCCTGAGCCACTTGCTAGTGTTGAAATGAAAGTTCTTCCCCCCTGCAAGAAGGAGTAGGAGAAGAGGCACAGTATGAAAATCAGTTGGGTTGCCTGACTGTAATGCAACCAGTGGTCGACTGCTCTTGCACCACCTCCATGCATGTAGGTCTTTGTTAGACTGAAAAACAGAAGGGTTGTTAAATGATAAATGCTTAAACAAAGACATTTGACATACACAAGAGAGAGAGAGAGAAAAAAAAGGGACATTTTTCCTCTCCTTCTACGCCTGCCTTCAAATAGAGGGTGCTGTTTTTACAGATGGGTCTCTGGCTGGATCTTTGGGGAGGTCTGTACAGCCTGTCCTGTTGTACAGTTGTGTGGAGTTGTGGCAGGTGCCAGCAGAAGGGCAGAGAAGGCTCTGCAGAGCCAAGAGGGTCATGGCAAGACCGGGACTGCCTTTCTGTGACCACACCACCTGGGTGAGGTGATGAGAGTGCAGATCTCCACCCTGAGAGACCGGGCTTGTGCTTCTTTTTAAAAGTGTTTTCTAAAGGGGTGGCTGCTGTCCCTTGTGCTATGCACGGGCACTCACGTAGCTGCTGTTCTCACGTGGCTGCTCTTCTGCTTCAGGGTGTTGGTGTGAAGGGCTGTGGGTGTCGCATGACCGTGGGGAGCTACGTGTGGCAGTTCTGCTGTGGGAGAAATCTTTCAGGGGTTGTGTGAGCAGGGAGTATTGGTGTCTGCAAGAAAAGGAAGGATGTGGTCTTTCTGTACAATTTGAAGCACTGGAGGGTACTTGCTACCTCTGTGTTTTGTCACTCTGAGGAAAGTTTGAAGTAATGCTTTTCCTTACAGCGCTGCGCTTGGTGCTTGGCGGTTATCATTGCGAAATCTGTCACAGCTGTAACTTTGGTTTCTAAACATGTTTTGAGCTGAAGGACTACTTCTTTTGTTTAGGCCAGTGCTGTAAGTTTTGTGTATTGAAGGGTAGGAAACTCACAGGTGGGAGACCAGCGTTTCCAAGTTGTGTCTATAAAAGAATAAGCCAGAAAGACTTTGGAGCAGTTGTGTGAAGTGCTTAGTCTGCCGGTCAGTGTCACGTATTAAAATACCTCTTGAAATCAGTAGTTACTCTAATGGTTAAGCCTGGGTCTACAGCTGGAAGGGCAGGTTTTGTGGTAGCAAAAATGCACAAATGCAATAACCTTTGCCTTGTTAAGCTTTATTTATCCTAGAAGCAAAACTCTTGTATTTGCTTACATTTTAAAAAGTTCTCTGGCAACGTGAAGGCAGAAGGTTGCCTTTTGGGCACATACACCCTCCTCGTCAAAAAGAGGAGTAGCACAGTCATTTAGGAACAGTGGAACAAATCCCTTTCTTTTAGACAAGCTCAGTTTATTTATTTTTAGATTTACACGGCAATTTTGGGCAGCACATGTGCCTTCAGGATGAACTGTAAAACCTCTGCTCTGCCCTTTAGCCAGTCTCAACCTTTTACATTTAATGCCCCTCAGTGTGAGCTGCATTAGAGTCCTGTAGAGAGCTTGTGATGACAAAGCATGAAAAGTGCTGCTGCTATCAGGGGTGCTTTAATGCACTGGAAAGCAATGTTGCTGCTTTTCATGATGGGATGAGTCTTATTTTTCACCTTGTACCTGGTAATTGCTTACCTTTCTTGTAAGCTGTAGATCTGAAACCGACAAATGTTTCTGAAGGAGAAACTGTGCTCATACTTGTTTGACTGTGGTTGAATCTCTGCTTTGCATATAGTATCTTTTATGGAGGGGAAACTGTTTGTTGCTTTGTAGAGGGAAACCCACGTTAAGCTGTTTCTGCTTACTTGAATATTAAGAGTTCTTCTGTCCATCGTGAAGGACATTCAGTTCACCAGTGCCCACTAGTGCCAACTCACTCACCAGGCCCTGTGGCATCTGCTCTGAAGGGGAGGCAAACACTGCCAGTCAAAGGTATTTCAGTAGCAATGGCACTCAGTGGGTTGGCGAGAGGAGGATGATGATGATGGGAAATAATAGAACAATTCTTTTCATTCCTTGCCTGTGCAGTGAGTGGGTATTTGTCAGGCCTCATGTACATACACAGGCTTTTGTTCTGGTGCTAATAATAAATAGAGTTCACAGCTCTGAATAGCCAGGACGATGTGACGAGAAGTGGGTCAAGACCATTCGTGTGTGCATAACTGCGCTCCCAATCTAGGCCAGTGCCTGTGCTGGATGCTTCTAAACAAGCTGAAAAGATTTCAGGGAAGCTGGAGTTTATGCTGTCAGCTGGATGAAGTGCACCTCTAGCTGAGTGGAGCACTTAAGGACGGGGATCAGAATGGATGGTCTGGAGTAGCTTTGTATGTTAGGAGGACCACAGAGTACAGCTTTACTGTTCAGTACCTCTGAAGAGCTGGAAGTTTAGTTTGAGTCAAAGGAAATTTTCTTCTTTCTGGCAGGGCAACGTGCTGAGCAGCCTTTCAAATTTGTGCACTGCTGTTTCCAATGAAATATCTCTGCTACCTCAGTTTCCTCTGAAGTGTCACTGGGGACAGAGGTGACTTACTGAGTGTTGCACTGCATTGCTGCAGTGTCCTTCAGACTTGCTGTGGTGGATGAGCTCCTTGGTGCTCTTCAAGGAGGAGTGGGTGCCTGGGCTCACCCTGAGGTGCAGTTGGGGACTTGGCTGCTGGAAGAAGAAAGATAACTTTCATGTAAAGCCACTGGGACGTATGGTGTCAATTTTTGGAGAGAGTAAGGTGGAGTTTGATTGGGTTATGATTTCTTTTATACTGTGATTGGGGTGCTTTTTAATCCTAGAATTTTGAGGTTACTTGTCCTTAAGGATGAGCTGTGACATATAATGCAAGCTGTAATACACATGTGTAACTCTCAAAATACCTGGCACAGCACTGCTGCTCACTGAAAGCAGTCTGTCAGAAATCTATACCCAGGTTTGGGTGAGAATGGAGGAAAGGATAGGGAAGGAGTCATGGTAGTATTGGGATTTTCGTTGGCTGGGAGGTGGTGCTTTGGTACTTCTAAAAGTAAACAACCTTTTTCTTCCAAGCCTCAAGTATGTTTGAGGCCATCCTTCTCTGTATTGTGCAGAAGCAAATGGGAATGCTGGGGGTTGTACCTGAGGTCTCGGGTGTGTGGGCAGTGCCTTTGCCAGGCAAAGAGGTGACCTTTCAAAGGTGAGCACGGTTTGCCTTCCACTGTCCCACCATCCCCCTGTGTCCTTTGTCGTGGTGAGCAGTGCAGTGATACAGATCAGAAGTGTTCAGGAGCAGGGAGGCTGGTGTATTCTGGAAGGAAGCCCTGGCTGTGCAAGGGGTTGTCCTGTGTGTGCTATTTGTTACCACAGATGGCAACTGTGGGAGCAGGGTGGCTCTCCAAAGGCAGTCTTGGCATGCCTGGTACTCTTCATTGATCTGTTTGTTCTTTCAAGTACAAGAAGGCTGAACAAATCATAAACTTCTTACGCAAAACATGAGCAAACATATTCGTCCTTTTTCAGAAAACACCTTAGAAGCTGGCTGTACAATTAAAAATATTGAATGTCTCTGAAGAGCAGTAAGCATTTTTCTCTCAGTGTGAAGCCGCATCCTGTCAAAAAGTCTCAAAAAATATTTTTCTGAAGTTTAGCAACCAGAAAGCCAGCCTTGAAGCTTGTTATGAAGACTGGAGTTTGTGAATGTCTGTGCTGGTCAGTCTCAAGTGAAGGATTTAATTTAAAAGGCTGAAGCACATGTTACAGATGCCACTGTATCAAAACCCTCTTTTGGGGAA